ATTTTCCTAACAAAATTTCCTGCTTTTTGCAGCAGGAACTTGCAGAAAACAAAGAATGTTAATGTCACTGCTCTCACTTTTCTCACAAAATTTCCGATTTTCCTAACAAAAATTCCTGCTTTTTGCAGCAGGAACTTGCTGGTTAGCCATGCTCCGTAACGGCCGTTGCACCGAAATCCTCTACGAGAAGAGCACAAAAGAGCAATGTTGCGGAAACCGCCTCATGCAGACGGCCTACACCCCCGAAGACCTCGACCCGGGGGCCTTCTTCTTCTGGAGGGTGTTGGGCGACGGTGTGCGATGCTACCCCTGTCAAGGTATGAAAAAAATTTCAGTTTCAGCGATTTCAACAGCTGAAATTTCAGTTTCCTGCAAGGATGTCGATTGCGGAGGCGATAAAACCTGCACGATACGGAAAGGACGTGCGAAATGCGTCTGTTCCTCCAAATGCAAGGAGGGGAAAGTCCGGGCGAAAAGGGGACCGATTTGTGGCACCGACGGCCGGAGTTACCGGAATATTTGCCGACTCCGGAAACGCGCCTGTCGACGCAAGTCGCATTCGTTGGCGATCGCCTACAGCGGAACCTGTCAAAGTGAGCCAAAACTTGATGTTTCCTGAGACAATTTCGATTTTGTGATACTCAGGAAACCAACTAATATCTAGTTCATGGAATTTTAAATTGAAATTAATTGATTAATATATATTCAATTTTTGCATCAGTTTCTAGGAAAATTTAAATTGAGACTCAGGAAACAAACTTACAATTAACTAGTTCCTGAGGCATTTTTAGTTTTTGTGATTTTCAAATTTTTGAATCAGTTTTGAAATAGTTTTACTCAAAAAATACAAAAATGACACTCCCTGAAAATATCCAAAATTATTTTGTTTCCTGAGACAATATCAATAAAATTGATACTCTGGAAACCAACTGATAGCAAGTTATTAATCAATATTCTATTTTTGCATTGGTTTCTGTGAAAATTTTAATAAAGACTCGGGAAACAAAACTAATACAAAGGTAATTCTCAGTTTTTGTGATTCTCAACTTTCTGAGATAGTTTTACTCAGAAAATACAATAATAAAAGTCCCTGAGAAAGCCAGTACCACTTTTCAACAAGACCCGAAATATTTTTGTTTCCTGAGACAATTTGGAATTGATACTCTGGAAACCAACCAATAGCAAGTTTCTGAAACTTGAAAATAGAGACTAAAGAAACAAAACTAATTCCTAAGGTAATTCTCAGTTTTTGTCATTCTCAACACTGAATCAGTTCTGAGATAGTTTTATTCAGAAAATACAAAAATAAAAGTCCCTGAGAAAGCCAGTACCAGTTTTCAACAGACCTGAAATATTTTTGTTTCCTGAGACAATTTTGGAATTTGGAATTGATACTCTGGAAACCAACCAATAGCAAGTTTCTGAAACTTTAAATAAAAATTCATTAATTAATATTCTATTTTTGCATCTGTTTCTGAGAAAATTTGGATTGCGATTCAGGAAACAAGCTTAGAAATAACTAGTTCCTGAGATAATTTTCAACTTCTCTAAATCAGTTTTAAGATAGTTTGATTCAGAAGATACGAAAATTAAAGTTCCTGAGAAACAACAGTCAGTACCAGTTTCCAGCAAGACCAAAAGTATCTTGTTTCCTGAGACAACTTAAAATTGATACTCTGGAAACCAACTAATAGCAAGTTTCTGAAACTTGAAAATAGAGACTCGGGAAACAAAACTAATTCCTAAGGTAATTCTCAGTTCCTGTTGTTCTCAACACTTCTGAGATATAGTTTTAGTCAGAAAATAAAAATAGTTTTCTGAGACAATTTAGATTTGATACTCAGGAAACCAACTAATAGCTTGTTTCTAAAACTAAAAATACAAATAAATGAATTAATACTCAATTTTTGCATCAGTTCTTGAAATAATTTGAATTCAGACTCAGAAAACAAGCTTATTTAAAACTAATTCCTGAGTAAATTATGAGTTTTTCTCATTCTTAATTCTTATGAATCAACCCTGAGATAGTTTTACTCTGAAAATAAAAATTGTTTTCTAAGACAGACAATTTGGATTTGATACTCACGAAACCAAACAATACCTACTTCCTGAGATTTAAAATAAAAATAATTTGATTAATTTTTAATTTTTGAAACAATGCATGTAATAATTTTAACTGAGTCTCAAGAAATAAAACTTACTAATAACTAATTCTCAGTTTTTGTCATTCTTAACTTTTCTGAATAAATTTTACTAAGAAGTTTCACTCAGAAAATTAAAACTAACTTTCTTGAGAACGTCAGTTAAGTCCAGTAATGAGGATTTGATACTCAGGAAATCAACTAACAATTAATTCATAAAATTACAAATAAAAGTGAGTCAATATTCAATTTTTGATTCAATTCCTGAGATAATTTGAATTGAGACAAACTTTCTGATCATTCTCAGTTTTTGTTGTTCTTCTTCTGATGTATAGTTTTTCTCGGAAAATAAAAATTGTTTCCTGAGACAACTTAAACTTAAACAACTTAAACTCAGGAAAGATTAAAATAATATTTTTTTTCTTGAGACAATTCTCAAGCAAAAGTTTTATTTAATTTTGCAATTCATAAACTCAGGAAACATTGTGTTTTCTAAGATTATGAATTTAAAATTAAATAATTTTCAGTTTTTGTCGTTCTCAACTCTTTTGAGATAGTTTTTCTCGGAAAATAAAAATTGTTTCCTGAGACAATTTGTCTCTACTACTACTACTTTTTTCACGAGATTGAGACAAACTCAGTTTGTCTTCTGAGAAAATTTGAATTGAGACTCAGGAAACAAATATAATTTTACTCAGAAAACAAAAAACGACGTTTCCTGAGCAAAACAAAATAAAACTTGATTTTTCCCTAGCCTCCTGTGATAAAATCAAATGCCCGTCGGGCATGCACTGCCTCCTGGACCAGAACCTGCACCCCCATTGCGTCAACTGTTCGAAGCGTTGCTCCGACAGCCCCCGTCGTCGCGAGGTGTGCGGTTCCGACGGCATGACGTACCCCAGTGCATGCCACCTCCGTGAGAAGACATGCCGTCGCGGCAAGGCCATCCCCATCGCCTACAAGGGCCCCTGTCGAGGTACCACCCCCAAAACCCCATTTCCGCCCCATTTCACCCCCATTTTCTGTCTTTAGAAGGGGCGACGTGCGGCGACGTCCGTTGCCAAGACCGGCAGTCGTGTCTGACGGATCCGTCAACGGGGATGCCCCGCTGTGTGAGCTGCACGTCGACGTGTCGACCGAGACACATGCACGGCCCCATCTGTGGTACCAACAACAGTACCTACCACTCGTGGTGCGATATGATGGTCGATTCTTGCACCAAGGGGGTTGTTATTGATACGAAGCATCCGGGACGGTGCGAGGGATGATAGGGGGGTGGGGGTTGTAGATACGAAATTTAAACCAAAGAGTAGCGGCGACATGGACTACGGTATGCTTAAGGAATTCCATGTTAAAAGTAGAGTTTTTTTTTTTTTTTTGAATAATTCCAAAGTAGAGGGCGTCGTAGGGGTCGGGGGCGGGGCGGCACACGATTCAACTATTTTATTCCTGAGAACTCAGAATACATGTTTCCTGAGTTCAGAAATTGTTGATAACTGAGTTTCAACAATTGGGAAACAACTTAATCTAACAGTTCATAAAACTACAAATAAAAGTGGATTAATATGCAATTTTTAGATCAATTCCTGAGATAATTTGAATTGAGACAAAGTTTCTGATCATTTTCAGTTTTTGTCGTTTTCAACTATTCTGGAAAATAAAAATTGTTTCCTAAGACAATTGAATTTGCTACACAGGAAACCAAGTAAAAGCGAACCTTGCAATTCATAAACTCAGGAAACATTGTGTTTTTTGAGATAATGAATTTTTCTTTGACAATTCTCAAGAAAGAATTTTATTTAATAATGCTCTTCATAAACTCAGAAAACATATTTCTTGAGTTCAATTGTTGATAACTGAGTTTCAAGAAATAAAACTTACTAATAATGAGCAACTAGATTTGATACTCAGGAAACAAACTAACAGTTAGTTCATAAAACTACAAATAAAAGTGGATTAATTTGCAATTTTTGGATCAATTCCTGAGATAATTTGAATTGAGCCAAACTTTCTGATCATTTTCAGTTTTTGTCGTTTTCAATTATTCTGAGATATAGTTTGTCTCGGAAAATAAAAATTGTTTCCTAAGACAATTTGAATTTGCTACACAGGAAACCAAATAAAAGCGAACCTTGCAATTCATAAACTCAGGAAACATTGTGTTTTYTGAGATAATGAATTTTTCTTAAGACAATTCTCAAGAAAGAATTTAATTTAATTTTGTACGTCATAAACTCAGAAAACATGTTTCCTGCGTTCAGAAATTGTTGATAACTGAGTTTCAGCAATTGGGAAACAACTCAAGAAACAAACTAACAGTTAGTTCATAAAACTACAAATAAAAGTGGATTAATATGCAATTTTTGGATCAATTCCTGAGATAATTTGAATTGAGCCAAACTTTCTGATCATTTTCAGTTTTTGTCGTTTTCAATTATTCTGAGATATAGTTTGTCTCGGAAAATAAAAATTGTTTCCTGAGACAATTGAATTTGCTACACAGGAAACCAAATAAAAGCGAACCTTGCAATTCATAAACTCAGGAAACATTGCGTTTTCTGAGATAATGAATTTTTTTTAGACAATTCTCAAGAAAGAATTTAATTTAATTTTGTACGTCATAAACTCAGAAAACATGTTTCCTGCGTTCAGAAATTGTTGATAACTGARTTTCAGCAATTGGGAAACAACTCAGGAAACAAACTAACAGGTAGTTCATAAAACTACAAATAAAAGTGGATTAATATGCAATTTTTGGATCAATTCCTGAGATAATTTGAATTGAGCCAAACTTTCTAATCATTTTCAGTTTTTGTCGTTTTCAACTATTCTGGAAAATAAAAATTGTTTCCTAAGACAATTTGAATTTGCTACACAGGAAACCAAATAAAAGCGAACCTTGCAATTCATAAACTCAGGAAACATTGTGTTTTCTGAGATAATAAATTTTTTTCTGAGACAATCCTCACGCAAAACTTTAATTAATATTGCAAGTCATACACTCAGAAAACATGTTTCCTGAGTTCAGAAATTGTTGATATTTGAGTTTCAAAAAATAAAACTTACTAATAATGAGCTATTAGATTTGATACTCAGGAAACACACTAGCCGTTAGTTGATAAAACTACAAATAAAAGTGGATTAATATGCAATTTTTGGATTAACTCCTGAGATAAATTGAATTGAGATAAATTTTCTGATCATTTTCAGTTTTTGTCATTTTCAATTATTCTGAGATATAGTTTGTCTCGGAAAATAAAAATTGTTCCCTGAGACAATTGAATTTGCTACACAGGAAACCAAAGAAAAGCGAACCTTGTAATTCATAAACTCAGGAAACATTGTGTTTTCTAAGATAATAATTTTTTTTCTGAGACAATCCTCACGCAAAACTTTAATTAATATTGCAAGTCATACACTCAGAAAACATTGTGTTTTCTGAGATTTTTTTTAACACTAAACTATAAATGTTTTTTGTAGCAGTTATGAAGTTGTCTTAAATGTGAAAACAGTACTTCATGAAACGGTTTATTCTTAATTTTAAAGCTTCCTGATTTTTTCAGTGTTTTAAATGATTCCTGAGACAGTCTTTCTTCTCAGATGTTGGTCTTGGGAAAGATTTTCAAATATCGAACATAAATACTAAAATTTTTCAAAAAGCGTCATTTGTGTTGAAATTTCATAAAAAAATGAGTCCTGTTTCCTGAGTTTTTAAGTTTTTTTCAGCACTAAATTATAAATGTTATTTCAAGCAATTATAAAGTTATTTTAATATAAAAACAATACTGCAAGAAACAGTTAAATCTTGATCTTGAAGTTTCCTGAGATTTTCAGTTTTTATTCCTGAGACGGTTTTTCTTTCAGATGTTTCCCAATCATAAATACTAGAATTTTTCACGAAACCGTCATTTCTGTTCAAATTCTGGAAAAAAAAAGATCAAATCTTGAAAATGATGTTTTCTGGGTTTTAATATTTCTGACTCAGTTTTCTCAACAATGAAATTACAAAAAATTACTGAAAATATGAAAAAAAAAATCTTAAAAAAATGATGAAATCTAATGTTTCCTGCGACATTCAGTTTTCTGAAACGGTCTTCTGAGAAATTATTCCTGAGAAACAACTTCAAATCAGGAAATAATTAAATCAAAAACAATACATCAAGACGAAACAAGTACATTTCCTGAGTTTTAATCTTTCTGAGTCGGTTTTTGCAACAACAAATATTACAAATGTCAATGATTTCTGAGATAAATTCAAGAAAATATTGTAAAAAAGCGGTTTCTTTTCAAAATCCATAAAAAAAAAATCATTCAATCTAATGTTTCCTGCGTCATTCAGTTTTTAGATGTTTTCTGAGACGGTCTTCCGACAACAAATATTACAAAATGAATGTCAGCAATTTCTGTGACATAAATTTAAAAAATATCGTAAAAAGAAACATTTCTGTTCAAAATCCTTCAAAAATTTATTAAACCAAATGTTTCCTGCGCCATTCAGTTTTTTTGCATGTTTTCTGAGAGTCTTTCTTATGAGAATTAGTTTCTAAAAAACAATTTCAAAATAAATTACAACAAATCAAGAAATAATTAAATCTTAAATAGAGTATATCAAGACGAAACAGGTATGTTTCCTGAGTTTTAATGTTTCTGAGACAGTTTTTCCGACAACAAATATTACAAATGTATGCTATGATTTCTAAGAAAATATAATGAAAAAAAAACGTTTTTGTTCAAAATCCTACAAAAAATTATTAAATCTAATGCTTCCTGCGTCATTCAGTTTTCAGATGTTTTCTGAGACAGTCTTTCTTCTAAGAAATTGTTCCTGAGAAACAATCTCAACATAAATGAACTTAATTAACTAAATCATAAACAATAAAAAAATATCAAAATGTAACAACTATGTTTCCTGACTCAATTTCTGAGCCAGATTCTCAGTAGTTTCGGTGAAATTGAAATTGTCTCAAAATCAAAGACACGTTTCGAAAAATCTAATTTACAATCCCTTTAACATTTTCTAAGATAGTTTCCGAAAAAATTTCGTGAGAAATGAAACAACTATGTTTCCTGAGTCAATTTCTGTTTTATTTTATCTACGAATTTTTTGTCACTTTCTTAATCATAAATTTGATGAAAGAAAGGGGTATTTCCTGAGAAACTAATTGTTTCCTGCGAAAAAATTTCGTAATAAGTGTGAATGTTGTGCCGCCTCTGCTTTCGCGTAGAGTAATTCACGTGTTCTAATTCTTAATTTAAGGTAAAAGTAATAACTCACAGTAATAACCAGTATTGAAGCAGAATTTAGTAAATGTAGCAAGAAATAAGCAAGAAACGTTGTGTGTTTGTACTATAATAACTTCGAATTCGTTGTATTTTTGTTGACAAACAAACAAACAAACAAACAAACAAACAAATTCTAGTCGGAAATAACAGACTTGTTGGCAATCGCTGGTTTTTAAATGTAAACAAATTGAATTTAATTTATTGTACAATATCGAAATAATAACCGTTCGATTTGCATTTAAAGCCTTTTTCAGCTGGTTCTCAGACAACAACAGCCGACGTGATCTTTATACAGAAAACGTGTTCTGATAAATAAATGGCAAATTAAGTAAATTGTCATCATTTCGAGTTTTGCATTCTTGCGAAAAAATTATCATAAACTTTTCCATGGATGCACTGGAATGCATAACGAGATGACTCTTAACCCGAAATGCTGAAATGCGAACCGTTATTATGAGAAAAAAAACAAGGTTGTCTGAAAATGTCTGAAAACTAATTATTTCAAGTACTTAAATAAATTATTTTCTGTTTGATTGTTTTGTTGATTGATTCTTTATGTACTTGTTGTATCTTTTGTACAGTATTTTATTATTATTTTTATTATATTCAAAGTATTTTTGTATTGTTATTTTTAAGAAATTATGGTGACTTATTATGTAAAACACGATGTATTAGACTGGCATAACTTATTAAATATTTATTGTAGATTTAGATAATAAATCACTAAAACACAACACTTTTTTCCCTTTTTTGTTATCAAGTGGGACACAGGGGCGGACTCTGAAAATATCATGTATCACAATTCTACTCCTGTGATCAGTTCGCCCATTAGTTTGCTCGAGATGAACGTCGCGTATTTTCTCGCCTTTTTTCTCCTTTCAGCAGGTAATTTATTTCAGTTTTTTTTAATTTTCAGTAGTTCAGGAAACCTATAATTTTGGTTGTTTCAGTAGAAAATAGCCCAAAAACAAAAAGAAATTTATGAAAAAAGCTATTTAGTAGCCTGAGAATCCTGAAACAGTTTTAACTTTTGTGCTCAAAATCAAAGAAACTTCAACTTTTTTTAAGATAGTTTCCGAAATAATTTCGTGAGAAATGAAAAAAAACAAAAAAGTTTGCTGTTTGATTTTTGATATAAAAGTTTCTCGGTTCTGAAAATCCTGAGATGTTCTCCCATAACTGAATTTCGGGAATATCCCAACAAAAATCTCAGTTTTCGTGAATTAAATTAAATTTGGCGTCAATTATAATTTGCAACTACTCTTTAACATTTTTTAATTCTTGAAACAATTTCAGTTAAAGATAAAAACTCAGTAAAATGTGATTTCCTGAGAAATCGATTTTTTTTTAACATTTATTAGTGTCATAATTTTAATAATTTTTCACAATAACTCAGATCTGACTCAAATCCTGAGAGTTTAATGAAAAACTCAACATTTATCACTACTACAAAGTTTATTGTTTCGTTTTATAAAAATTAAACACAGTTTTTCCAGTTAACTGAGAATCCTGAGCTAATTCAAAGTTTGTGCTTTCTACCATTTCTGAAAAAACTGAGTCGGTTTTTACCAAATTTGTGATCTCAGTTTTAAAAAAAGGATAAAAAAGTTTGTTGTTTACTTTTTGTAGATATAATTACAGTTTTTCAGTTCTGAAGATCCTGAATGTTGTCCAATATCGAATAAATGAGAAAAAAATCTCAGGTTTCTTAAATTTGAGACAAATTCTGAGAGTTCATCAGAAAATTGACAGAATCAAAATTTCTTATTTCGTTTTTTTTAAATATTATACATATTTTTCACGTAAATAGTTCCCTACTGAAAATATTAATCCTGAGATGTTTTTTTTTCTTGAAATTAAAAATTCAACTTTTAATTGAGCTTTTTATTACAACTAATTCCAGAGTTAATATAATAGTTCCCGAAATATTACCTTATAGCACTTTATAAAATAAAAGATAACTATTTTTTAATAAATTTATTACATATTTATCTTTGTTATTAGTTATTACGTTCAAAAATAATTACATTTTAATTTTTTGATCTTTAAATGGCAGATTTTTTAAAACAACTTCTAAAATTTTTTACATGTTCTAAAATTGGAAAAAAATTTCTGTTTCTTGAGTCAATTATCTCCTGAGACATATCTTTAAAACTTTTATTTTCAAATTGTTGAGCTATTTTCTAATTATTTATAATGGCAAAAAAAAGAAAAAATGAGTTAGTATCACACGAAGTGTTTCCTGAGGTAGTTTTTTACTCAAAAATAAAAAATAAAGTCCCTGAGAAATCCAGTACAAGCTCTGAGCAAGACCAAAAATACTTTTGTCTCCTGAGACAATTTAAATTTGATACTTTGAAAACCAGTAATAGCTAGTTCCTGAAAACTCCAGTTAAGTCCAGTGATGAGCAAGTTCCTGAGACAATTTAAAATTTAAATTTGATACTCAGTATAGCTATTTTTTAACTAGTTCCTGAGATAATCGAAATTGAGACAAACTTTCTGAAAACCATAGGTAGATAATTCTCAGTTTTGTCGTTCTCAACTCTTCTGAGATCTAGTTTAAGTCAGAAAATAAAAATAGCTTTCTGAGACAATTTAGATTTGATACTCAGGAAACCAACTAAAAGCTTGTTTCTGAAACTAAAAATATAAATAAATGAATCAATATTAAATTTTTGCGTCAGTTGCTGAGAGAATTTGAATTGAGACTCAGCTTATTTAATAGTAGTTCCTGAGTTAATTATGAGTTTTTCTCAACTCTTATGAATCAATCCTGAGATAGTTTTACTTTGAATACTCACGAAACCAACCAATACCTACTTCATGAGATTTAAAATAAAAATTGATTGATTAATTTTTAATTTTTGAAACAATTCCTGTAATAATTTTAATTGAGTATCAAGAAATAAAAATTACTAATAACTAGTTCCTGACGTAATTCTCAGTTTTTGTCATTCTCAACTCTTCTGAATCAGTTTTAAAATAGTTTCACTCAGAAAATTAAAATTTCCTGAGAACGATAGTAAAGTCTAATAATGAGCAAATTCCTGAGAATTAGTTCTGAGAAATCCAATACCAGTATGAGCAAGACCAAAAATATTATTGTTTCCTGAGACAATTTAGCTCTCATACTTAGGAAACCAACTTACAGCTTATCCGTGACAGTATTTGAATGAAGACTCAGGAAACTAAAAACATCCCGAGGTACAGTAGACGAGTCTGAGTGTTTCTCTTTTTAACTCTGAAAACTCGAGATAACCAATGAAAGTCTAGTTTCCTGAGCTAAATTTCCTGCGAACTGAGACTCTAGTTTCCTGAGCTAAATTT